GTCATCCCGAATAAGTATGTCTGTGTGGGCAGGTGACATGTTCAAGCTGGCGTACCTGTCGGTTAGCATTACGTGACTTGCCCTCCCCCTTCAATGCACTCAAATGGACCTCTAGAGCTTCCTAACCTTGCAGTTCGGTTGAGTAGGAACAGCATCAGATTTGAATGCCGTAGTTTGAGGTGGACGCAACAATCGCCAATACAGGTGTCTTTATGACTCTGGTCTTAGCTCACATCACCCACTTGGCTTGTATATTAATAGTCTTGCCACGTTCCCAACTACCTTTAGAAGTACATCAAGTGGTCTTTCACCAAAGTTGCAACTTTCCATCGACCATCCACTTGGATATCCTTGTGGAGATGGAAATGCAAGGAAGAATAGAAGGTGTAATTGGTCCAAGTGCATACCACCCAGTTGACTTCCTTACAAGCCACCTCTCATTTCAGCATCCTCCTCTCTGGTGTACAGGGTAAGTAGAGCAGTGATTGTTGGATGACGTTAAAAATGCTAATACCAAGAAGTGTGATATTCACTTCGTTTTGAAGGACGACGAGGTTCCACTTCCTTTGGAAGGTAAACTGAATTGAGAGTGATCAGAACTGGAAATGGACAAGTGAATGCGCAGCAAAGCCAATTTGCAGTCCCACTCCCAAAACCCACTGCTATTGTTTGTACTCGACCTAATAACTTACATGTGCACACATGAGTTACAGTGTCCCTCGCCTTGTTATCCAGCTGCGGAACCAGTATGTGCCGGCTCACCAAATTCGCATTCCATTCGCTGTCATCTTCTGTTGCCAGATATTTTTGTTTCTTTTACCCCATTTAAGGAGCGCATTTCATTCATTCCTTCTTCATTTAACATTTTTGAACAGAACATGAGCCTGATATACCGCTGTTGTTAGGGCGCGCTAGCATTTCAGCACTGGTCAGTGGACAGTACAATTCCTGCAGTTCGCCATTACTATCGCCAAGTGCAACCGGATACATAGAGAAAAGTGGAGGAAGTTAGTCGCATTTTAAGAGGGGTAGTCTTTTTTCCTTAAAATGTGGCATTATTCTCGGTCAAACATCCATACAACCTTTTCTCCATAACAAAGCAAATTACATTGACATCATGATAGGTTGATAAGAAAAGAATCCATATGTAGTAAATACTGTAAGCGCTGCAATTTTGGCTGGCAATCAAGAAAGTAACTGGGAGGAGGGCTTCATTCGCAGCCACACGGTTCATAAAATTACATTGTCGTGACTTGGAGTTTGGGCTTGTGAACTTGGGTCTTGTCGACCTCCTTCCCTTTTACTCATCCAAAGGCTGGTGAGTAAAGCTTTTGGTGTACGCATTCCGATTACCGATGTCGACGAATGAGGAAGCGAGGCCAAGGTGAGCACATAGAAGTTGGATCCACTGATACAATCCATCACTACTGTGTGGCAATGGCAGTCTGCAGAAAAGGCGAGTTGAATAGTCGACTTGGAGTTACTTACAAGTCTCCTGTGCCTTATATTGTGATACGATCTCAAAAGTGACTGTCATATGACAAACACTGGAACAGCTCTTTAACGCGGTAGCATAAAGATGTTGAGGTCTTAAGTAGTGACTCAGCGGTGGCCGTAGTGGTGGTAGTGCACTTCAGACGTGGTCAACAAACACAGATGATGCAGCCTCAACGCCTCAAAAGTTGGGTTAAAAAGATCTGTCTGTGGAAGAAGTTGCCAGCAGCAAGAGAAGGCTCTCATTTCCAGTACTTTTTTTTCGCTTTCACATGGAACTTTTGTTAGCACATATTTCGCAAAGGTGTGGTCCAAGAAAATATGCGGACACGATGTGGTGCAAAATAATTTGCAGAGTCCGTACAAAAGGAGAAGCAAAGAATGCTAAAATGCTAGCTATCTTAGTTCAAATGGAATGGAATTTTTTATTGGAGATCGCTGAAATAAAGTCACTCTAATTCGAGTGGTGAGTGAGCTTACTGCACCGCTAACAGTGATTAAAAAAATATCCCGCAACCACCCAATCAGCAGTCAGTTTTTGCCTGATGGCAACTTAGATGATCTCTGCTGAAGTTTGATTTGAGGCAGAGTTTCGCTCCCTTCTGACGACTTAATTAATCCAGAGATAACTCGTCGGTAGTTTGTGCCTCATCGTTAGCGATGAATGTTTCCGTACAGGCCGGAGTAAGAGACCAGTTTTGGAAGTGAGAGCATTAATTCCCCCTCAGATTGCTACACAGTCTCCTTTACATCGGCCAACAAAGAGGAAATGAATTCTGTGCGCATACCTTGTTAAGTGCACTAGTCCTGGGGCTATTCCTTCAGATTTCGGTCTTTAGCGCTCTCTCGTAGATGATGATTCCTCTGCAGTACTTTGGTGACGGCACGAGTCGTAGGGATACAACACCTCTATTTTTTTCATTAATCCTGTGTAAATTTCTTGTTATCTGGGAAGTGGTTGCACTTCTCAGTCAGTACTGCATCCCAAGAATACTGCAAGGGTTAGGGCATTTGCAGGGTACAGGGGGGGGGGGGGGTTCGGTATAGTAAGAAACCACTTCCGAGTTGATAAATTTTACAAAATGATTCGGCATAGTGCTCCCAAGGAGCATCAAGAAATCTCCGTGTAGAATTTTTTTTTTCCTTTTGTCTCCGTTATATCCATACCACACCTCCCTGCTATTCTTTTCACTACACGCACTTTTGTGCCAGGTAGTGCATGCCTCAACTACGCTCCTGCATCTAACTCGGAGACTTCCAGCAGAAAAAGACAAGTCC